TGAGCCGGCCGTGGCTGCTCCTGCTGGGCACCGTCTTCCTGGAATGGAGAGCGTGACCAGGGCTGAATGCTGTGTCCCTACATCCCGGTGTCCCCATGTCCCCATGTGCCCATGTCCCCACCACCCCAGCATGGTGGCTCCCAGGTTGGTGACTGCAGTGCAGTCCCAGGCTAAGGGCATCTGCTGCCCAATGCCAAGGTTACAAGGGATTCCCAGCTCCCCAAAGCTTCCCCCCTCAGACCCACTCCCCCCTCAGGGCCCCTTTTCAAGGGTTCCAAACACTCCTTTGGACACCTGCATCCCAAGGATGGTGGTGGCCACGGTCTTGCTGAGCCCCCCTCCCCATCCCACTTAGTGCTCTGGGGAGCCCAGCACCAGCAGTGCCCATGGCAGGGCTGTGCTGCAGTCACACCAGCAGCACTGTGGGGGCAAGACCCCACCAGGGTCCTGCCAGGAAGGGATGTGGGGGCAGGGGAGGAGGGCAGTGGAAGGGCCCAGAGGACCAAAAAAAGCCTTTATTAATTATTCATCTGGAGAACTGAAGAAAACACCATGTGTGGAAAAGGGCTTCGGGGGGTGGGGGACAGGACGGACTGCAGGGGCCAGGGCACCCAGGGGCCAGGCTGTGGTGGTGGCAGCAGTGGGTCCATCCCAGAGCACCCTGATGCTGGGGCATCCTGGGGGGCTGAGCTCCTCTGGCAGGGCTGGCAGCACCGCTCTGCCGCCATGGAAACAGCAAACCCATGGCAACACACACCTCCACATGGAAACCCCCTGCTCATGGCAACGCACACGATGCTGCCCGCACCTGCCAGCGCCTGCAGTCCTGGGGGGGATCCCCCCACTGTGGCACCCCAATGCACTGCTGGGATGGAGGGACCTGGCAGCTGAATGTCTCCCCCGAGCATCATGGTGTGCATCCACCCATGCATGGTCACTGGCACCCACTGGGCATCATGCTGGGGATAGGGGAGGGCACCCAGCCGTGGCAGCCAGCACACAGAGGGGGCTTGGTCAGGTTCTGACCACAGCAGGCTTTGGGGATGGCTGGTGTCACACCAACCAGGTGACTACAATCTCAGGAGGACATATGAATCCTCAAGCTGTGGCATGAAGCAGCCCTGGTTCCCTCCCGTATTCCATGCCCCTCATCTCCTCTACCTTGTCCCCATCACGTTTCTGTTCTAAAGCAGAGGGGAAGTAAAGCCCCCCCACCCATCACCTGAACATCAGCCGTGGTGGTCACTGTGCCCAGAGCGGGTTGGGCCCGGGGGTCCCGGCAGGACAGGGGACCCGCTCTGCCTTCCATGGTTAATATTTAACCGCGGCTTCCTGTGACAGCATGTCGCAACCGCAGAGCAGGGCCGGCATTCAATAAATCATAGTGGCGGGCTGGGAGCCTGGGGGGGGAGCGGGGAGGGGGCAGCACCCAGCCAAGCGAGAGGGGGAGCCGATAAATAATTCATTAAATAAATAAACATGGCAAGAGAGCAGGGAGGAGGCAGGAGTGTAACCAAGAAAGGGCTCGGCGAACGCAGGCATGAAATATTCACCAGCCACACCTACACGGCCCTGAATGCGCTGAGCTCAGGGCTCCCGACCTGCCGGGAGGAGCCAGATGCTGGCACATCTCCAACTGGACATGGCAGGAACATGCTAATGGCACAAGGAGCGGGTGGCCAGGGCCACAGTAACATGGCAGCTGGGTCAGGGGACAGGTAGCCAGCAGCGCTGGCATGTCTGCAAGGAGCCAAGTAGCTCCTGGCAACCCTTTGCTGTACAACCGAGGCACCACTGGGCAGCCCCACACCAGGGCTTGGGCCAGCACATCTGGAGCACAGTTGCCACTTGCCTGCGGACCTGTGGCCACCCTGCTTCTTGCTGTCCTTTTCCTTCTTTTATCCCCATGTCAGGCTTTAAATTTGAATGAGGGCCTCAAGGATGGTTGCGCCGTGTCAGTGAGTGCCGTGCTGGTGAGGGTGCAGGGTGCTGACCCTGGGGAGAGGGGGGACCTCCAGCACTGGAAGCATCCTGTGGGATCTGCTGAGGCTGCATTGGAGCGATGACAGATCCGTGGCAGAGACGTGGCATAGGAGAGGTGATGATGGGTGGCAGAGCCACTGGCCACCAGAGCACCTCTCTGGCAAGCCACGGGTCCAGCCAAAGCGGCCTCATGTCTTGGGGGGGGGGGAAGGGGCTGCAGGTGAGCACCATTACACAGATAGACATGGGGGTGATTTGTTAGTTAGCACCTCAGCAGCTTGAGGTAATCGATGCAGAGCTTGATGGTGCAGGATCACAGTGGAGGCTTAATTGCCAGTGCGACACTGGCCACCAGCAGCCCTGGTCACCACCTGCAG